TACATCTGTGAACACAGCTATGTGCTACTTTTTCATTGGCCTGTCAGAAAAATGTTCCCATGTTAAATATCACTGAGAAAGAGACACCAGTAGCAATCAGCTGGCTCAGCTTACCTGCACATTCATGTCTCTTTTGACAGATGAGCCTTCTAGCTGGTTCGTGTAGACACATGGACACAATTTTCATCTGGAAACTTGTTCTGATAACACCACGTAGACTAAGACTGTAGGGATGAAGTAAGGTGGGGAGAGTACAATCTAAGCATACTCTCTAAAAGCTTTCTTTCACAACAGTATTTCCCACTTCTCTCCTGATGTGAAATGCTAAGTGACCAAGTTTATTAAGAATAGTCTATCCACAAATGAGGAAGAAGTGAAAGCCACGAGCAGAGGGCCTTTACACACATGCAGATGAATGAACTCATCAGAAAGCCATGAATAACACAAAGAAGCCAAATGTAAGACACAGGCTTTGTTCATGGTGAAATGGGAGTTCAGAAGTTCAGGCAGGTGTAACACTCAGTTTGGTGGAGTCAAGCCACTGGTCTCCGAAGGCAGATGGCTGTTAAACACACTCCATTGGACTGCAGACAAAATAAAATATACATTCACATTTATTTTTATTCTATCCTTTTCAAATTTCCAACCTAGCACACTTTTTAAAATATGAGAAAATATTCATGCACTAGTACATAAGAAATGATGCTGATTAATAATGAATAATTTATACACACATAATAGTTGTTTAATCCAATGGAGTGATCAGTACAAAAATATAGAGATTACCAGCTGAGATTTTTATTGTTGATAAAGTTGTAATATGACTGGAGCTAGAAATCCAGGAAGTTTAAATGGAGCTAACTTTCATCTACTACTTGCCTACGTGTTTGAGTCATTGGCCAAGTTAATCACAAGATCCCGAAGTTCAGTAGAGTCTCAGTGGTTGGACCAGGAAAGGTGTGGGGTTGGTGGGCTTTAAGATATTTGTGGAAGAGCAGGCATCAGGCAACGCTGAATTATAAGAAAATAGATAATGTTTCATGAAACACTTACAGGTGTGGTCTAAGAGAGTCATAGTACAAGTACCTTAGATGACCAGCACCTAAGGGAGTTGAGGGCCTAGGGCTTCCCTAGGGATACAAATTTGCTGTGTCCTTTAGTCTTCCTCTTGGGCAGCATTAGTAAGCAAAGTCTCACAGTAAGGGAACACAAGCCAAATTTCAGCAAGAAGAGGAGGCCAAAGAGTCAAAAGAAGGATAAGAGCACCCTGACATAAATATCTTCTGTGGTCAACTCTCCTTAGATGAATAGCTAATCCATGGCCAAATCACATGTATATTCTATAATAAAAGATAAGCCCCTAAGATACCACATTTCTTGTCTTGCTTCGGTAAGAAATAGCCATGCAAGAAAAAAATTGAAAAAGCTAATTATAGTATTTTAACTTATGTGCTTCCTTAGTTATAGAACCTAAACTCTATGTAAGTTGTAAGAAAAAGTTGACCTTCCTTGAATAGTTTTATATGTTTAGAGTTCCATCTCAATTTAAAAGATCCCCCTTTTTAATATAGCTTATATGACCGACCCCACTTGAATCCCACTCAATGGAAAGGCTGTGAGTATTGCAGAAAAGCAAACTTCCTTAGCAGAGGACATGACTGACCACTGGACTGCTATTGAGAACAGCACCATTGTATCCTTGGAAAAACTAGTTTGTGGTGAGGTCCAGGGATGATCATTCTCCAAGGATACAATCAAATCATTACCCAAAGAATGGTCCAGAGCTCTCAAGGCAGAGGGAACACCACAGTCCTGCCTGCCTCCCCATGAAAATAAGACAACTAACTTCCATCTTCTCTGGAAAGGGAAAACATGTCTCCCCTTGAATAGGCTCTGCTCATGACTTGCACCATCACCTTTGTGGAGCATGACCAGCTACAAACCACCAACTATTCCTGATAACTTTGCTCCTAAATGTCTGAGGCTTTCTCTGAATTCTCACTGATCAATGTACACTCTCAGCTCAAAGCCTGACAAGATCAAATAACCAGAGCTCTTTAAACATCTGACCTTAGGTAACGTCTCCCAAGACAGTTAACATTCTACATTATTTATATTCATCTTTCTCCTCCCAACTCCTAGACAACACTCACTGGAATCCAGGTTTTGAGCAACCCTACCTTACTGTTAAAGGCTGAGTCGACTTAGGGTCACCTTCCAGGTTTAGAGTTGTTACTCTGAACCCAAAAATAGCTGCCTCTCCATGGTTAAGCTAAACCATTTACCTCATCTTCAACTTGGAGATCTTCTGGGGTGGAAATCAACTGATAATAATGGGGGGAAAAAACTAACTGGCATCCAGAAGCTATTAGAAGCCTCAGTTCTGAGCCTCTGCATTATTCATGTGTGCAAACTGTCTTAAAGTTAGCCAAATTCTCTGTGCAACCAGGCTGGAAAAGTCCATGCACTCAACTACATTGATATGCACATTTCTCAAGCTTGGTTCTATTTAACATTTTCATGAGTGACCGGCTTAAAGGAGCAGAGAGCAAGCACATGAAGTTCCTAGATGGGAGAGATGACCAGAACATTAGCAAGCAGGATTAGAAGTCCCTCAGCCCTTGCTAAATTAGCAAAACTGACAGAGTTAAGTATGTTCACTGGGACAGGCAGCGAAAATTGAGCTGCCCAGAGGCAAGCTGAGTAGAAGCAACGTAAGGGGAAAGTGGGCTATAAAGAATGCAAATGCAGAAATAGACTCCTAGTGGGAGCTGAACTAGCCAGAGTGTCCACTGTGGACTCTGTAGCCCTGAAAATATATTCAGATCCCCATTCTATAGAGTATCAAAGGAGAAAGCATCCTCATGGGGTTTCCAAGAAGGCCAGAGAGCCTTTCTTTCTCACCAGCATTTACCTTCAGATTCCTGGGTCCACGTCACTAGCCTGGCTTTAGGCTCATTCCATCATCCTCTTTTAGTTTACCTTATTACAAACTGCACTGATTCATATATTAAAAACCACTTCATTAGTGGAGCACATCATCGCAGCCTCCTGCAGAATGGACTCTTCCTCCTTGGTTAGTTTGGTTCCTTCTCGTTGTTGTTTAAGATAGGGTCTCACTATGTAGCTCTGGCTGGCCTGGAACTCTCCATATAGACCAGAGTAACCTAAAACTCACACATATCTGCCGACCCCTGCCACTGAATCCTGGCATTAAAGGCCAGTACTAGGCTACTTCAGCTCTTGTTCAACCCTTCCAACCAAACTTCTACTAAAAGGAACTTAACAGGTAATTCCTAAGCAAGTATGGCTCTGAGCCTAAAAAGAGAAGCTAAATGAAATGAAGACTCAAGTGGATAATGCTACAGGCAGAGCTTGCAAACTTTTCCTGTAAAAATGAAAAAGAGCCCAGATTTGAGTCTTTGTTACAGCTACTCATTGTTGATACTGTAGTGTAGGAGTATCCTAATATAACAGGAGTGGACAAATGAGGGGCTGGCTCTACAGTAGGCTGGAGTTTCCTAACTTGTGTTGCATTCAGTTTTAAAATCTTCAACTCTCAGTGAGTCTCAGCAGGCATTTTGTCCAAACCAGTTCACTTTACACCTGCAAAATCCAGAACCTAGAAAACACGATGATTTTTATTCAAGTTCACAAGATATTTAAAGCTGTATTAAAACCTTCAAACTAGAAAAGGGTATCCCAACCCCCAGGTTAATGCTCTTTACTCTAACCATCATCATCGGGGCCATTTCTAGAAAGTTCTGAGGATCCTTGCTTATCTTTGAGATAGCAGAGCCTCTTCAAGAAGTCTTACCATAATGTCTGGTGCCATGTCTTAGTAAAATATGTAATGCATGGTTGAAGTGGGATCTCTCACTAGGTAGGGTCAAGACAAGACGTGGGGTGGGGCTGCCTCTACACTGAAACCATCAGGTTTTCAGATAAGCAGAAAGACAGCCTAGAACATTTAGTTTAGGAAGGATAGTTGCTCCACTGAGTTCAAAGGGCGGCGTAGTTTTAGTTTAACTGAAGTGAAAGTTGCCTGAAGTAAACCGAAGTTAAAAACTTCATGTGCCAAAAGGAGTCATTTAGGGCGAAGTTGTTCTATGCGCCCTATGGGAATGGAAGAAGCAAGGCTGAGTTGGAGGTCAGATGGCAGGACAAACTGACAGAGGTACCTGCTTGAAAGAACTTGAGGCCAGTAAATGCAATGGAATCCCTGTAGTAATCACATGCAAGAGTGGCACCTTTTGGGCAGTGCTGGATATCGACTGAAGGTGGTGACCCTTGTTGAAAGCAGCCACTTAAAACCCTGTTCTGAGCCAACAGGGACTCACTGAGTCACTACAGCCAATGAGGATAGAATAGTTTCTTCTCATAGAAAAACACAAAGTGGGTGCTCATACTGGAGAAAATATTTGTTGAGATTTCAAAGGAGACTTTCCAGTAAGTAACACTCCCTCCTGTTGGTAGGCATCTGTAGAAATGCATGAGAAGCCTATGTTTCGGGGTCAGAAGCTGGTAGCTCATTTCAAATGTGTATGAAGACATGCCCAACCTCAGCAGAGGCCAAAAAGATGCTAGGCTTTGTGTCTGTAGCACTGGGGACCAAGTCCAGGTTCTATCCTACATAAGTACTCTAGCTCTGAACTAAGCTCCCACCCCTGAGGACGGGAGGTTTTTAAGGAGGATCAGGATTGATATGGAATTTGAAGATCCAGTAGCTTAAGCCTATTCTTCCTTGAAAGTTGGGGCCAGTTTTTTTTTTTTTTATGAGAAGTCTCATTTTACTACCTTTGGTAAAGATAAATTACAATGTGCTTTATGTAACTAATTAAAATGGTGCAATCTGTTCAAATATCATTTGTGGGCAGTACATTTCATAAAACATATTCTGGAAGATTAGCTGCCTCCAACCACAACTTTTCCAAAGTCCATTTTTCCAAATAACAAACTTCTGGCAATCATAATTTTTCATTATTGTGATTTTTTTCCAGATGATCCAGGAACCTGTACCTCGTGTGCTACAGGATATTACATGTAAGTCTGCCCCCCTTTGTTCCTGACACTAACTTTTCTGCAGCTTAAGCATCACTGACTTAATCCTAACTCCAGTGATTGCAGCACAGGGGCCCCGCAACCTGAAGCAACTGTCCTGGGTGGGCTATTAAGGAGTGAGTCTTGGATTTAGGAGTAAGAGTCCAGATGTTTTCTTGCCTTGAAAGGAAGCCTTCCCTTTCCTGATCCTGGAAGCCATCCATCTTGACACTCATGTCTAGGAATTTTGCCATGGGTCACCACCATTCAAATCTTGCTTTTTATGGACAGGCTTTAATAATATATCTGCCTTTGAGAAAGCAGATTCCCAATGTCTGTGTAGGGACTTCGTCCCTAAACAGAGTCATATGTGCCAAGGGAAGCCAGGTGAGACACTTTCCTCTTAATTGCCCCCTGGGTGATGAGAGGCATGGACCACTAGCTAAGATGGAATGCAGATAAGCATCAGACTAACGTTTTCCCACACGAATCTATAAAGGCCAAGCCTACATGTTTCAACACTACCTCCTGTCCTAGCTGCTCTCTCTTCCAGCTCACATCACCACCTATGCTAGAAGGAAACCAACTCAAACAGAGAAAAAAATAGAGAAGTGTGGGTCAGACCAATCTAAGGCCTCCATGGGTCCTATTCGACCACCCGCAGCTCTCCCATCCTATTTCTTCATCTTCATCCCAGCTTGTAAGCAACTTGAGACCTGTATCAAGTCCAAGAGACAGAAAGAGAAGATCAGGGAGTCTCTGATGGCCCACTCACTCTACAGCTAAAACTAGTGGCAAGCCCACATCTCTATTTTTGTGTAGGTCACCACCTTCTGTCACCCTATTGTCTCCCCTTGGCAGATTCTAAGATCTCAAAACAGTAGATGGGGAAATGGTGGAAGCAGGAAGCAAGACAGGAGGGAAAGGCAGCCCAGCAAGCTGAAGCATCCCAGAAGGCTGGGCCAACCTGAAGTACCAGTAGACCCCCTCGGCTGAAATATTTGACAAGAAGCATTTCCAACTTCATATTTTTTCCCTCAGATATCAGAATGGTTCACACATAAATGAGATATCTTGGGGAGGAGCCATGTCTCAAACTATAGTCCATGCTTCACATATAGTCCATGCTTCATATGTAGAGGGGCATAGTTGGTGCAACATTTTATATACTATTTTAAAAAAACAAATTTTGTGCATGAAACATTTTGCAGCATCATGTCAGTTTCTCAAAAAGTTCTTAATTTGGGAGCATTTTCAGATTTAGGCGAATAGGGACGTCATTTTATTTTATGTGTATGAGTGTTTGCTTGCATTCACTTGTATGTGTGTGCACTGCTTGAAGAAGTAGAGATAGGATCCCTTGGAACTGAAGTAATAAATGGTTGTGAGCTACCATGTGGATACTAGGAAACAAACCCAGGTCCCCTGCAAGAGCATCCAGTGTACTTAGCTGCTGAGCCATCTCTCCAGGCCCTGAACTTAGTCTTCTGGTTGTAATCTGGCTTCCCTAAAACAGCTGGCTACTACTGTGACTATGTCAGCATATCATTCTGATTCATTTATATAATTTTTCCATTTCACAGAGAAAGGGTAAGAGTTGTACAATTCAATGGAAGGACACTGCCTTGTTTACACACAGCCCTGAGTTTGACCTTCAGGACTAGAAAATGAACACATTAAAAGATAGAGGGATGATGAAGAGGCCCCAAGTTAATGATTATAAGACAAAGCTGGATAATATTTAATGAGAGGAAGATAACTGACAGCATATCATCTGCAACAGCTACATCAAGGGCTCTCACAGCAAAGATGAACAGCGGACATGCAGGCATTTTATAGAGAGGTCACAAAATGTCCCATGAAGAACCTTCATCTCATTCTCTCTCCCTGTCCCCTCAGCCCTTCCCCCACCACACACACACACACACACACACACACACACACAGAATGACTATGCAGAAACAAGTGGAAATTCTATACTTTTCCTCTGATGTTCCCCACCCCCTACCCTGTGCTCCTCCAATCCAATTCTGTCCTGCCTGAGTCTTTGATGTGACCCCTGTACAAATGCCTCCCCTGCACCTGATTCCTCTCCCACCCCTATGACACATGACATTAACCAGATCATTAATGTGTGTGTGTTTTATAAAACCTTTTGAGAAAGAAATAGGCTGAAATAGCAGGCCCTGTAGCACTAAGACACAGCATGAGATAACCATTTCAAGGAGCATATGTTTATGCTATTTCAGGCTACTTAGCATCAATGACTAGTTGAAGTGCTGGACAACATAAGCTGTTAAGAAAGAATGTGAACATCTTTCCTGATGACTCATTGATGCTTTGAAATCCACCAAAGGGCAAGAATCAGCTTCACTCCACTGCCCCTCCAAGTGAACTGCAATATCTTGCTATATAATGAGCATAAGCAGATCATCTGTGCAAGAATCCGCATGTGTACATGCAGATGTGTGTGTTAGCATGTGTTGAGGATGTCAAGAGACTTCCTTGTTATTCATGATCTGGCCACAGACATTCTGGTAAATTGCATGGACCCAATACTGGGATGTCTCTCACTTTCTAAGAGAACTGCACAAACTATCTATTTCAATGAACTTTGGTCAAAACCCTGGTCCTACCTTTCAGGAGATGTTGGACACTTAATGCCTGAGCATCATCCCATGTGTAGACATTAAAAATTAGTAATGTCTTCCCTGTGGAGTTTGGGCACAGACTTGAATGAACTGATACTTAACAGCCAGCGCAGAAATCAGTCTCAGCGACCTTCTCCTCCCAGCATCCTCCCAGCAGCACCCCCCCACAATAAAAGGGGTCCTCAGAGGTACAGAAGAGGTAGCAAATGCCTTGGTTTGATTGGGCAGGACAGACCAAGTGCAGGTTTCTACGCTTGACAACCTGTTCAGTGTGCTATAGATAAACGAGTATGAGGAGATCAAATCGTGTTAGTTCTAGCATGCCAGCCCTCATCATGAAACACGGAATCATGTCTCCTAGGTTTGAGTGGCGTTGCTATAAAGCCTGCCCTGAGAAGACCTTTGGTGAAAAATGGGAATGCAGAGCCTGTAGTACTAACTGTGGCAGCTGTGACCAACATGAGTGCTACTGGTGTGAGGAGGGCTTCTTTCTCTTGGGTAAGCTGGAAAATGGTGACCCACAGGGAAGAAAAGGCTGTGAGGACCCAGCAGGCCATCACTGCAATAAGAGCAATCCTATCATGGATTTCAGAGTCTCTGCCTACTGTCGTTTATGGTCCAAAAAGGAATTTTAATGTGGTTTGAAAATTAACATTAGCCTGAACTACCTCCTTCTGCATTTAGTATTGAAGCATACATAGTTCATATTTCACTAGTTAACCTCAAGAATTTCCATGTTGGTGGGAACAAGAGAGCCGAGTAGAAATGGAGTGCTGAGATGGGAAGGAGACCTGAAAATTAATGTTTCAGAGCTAAAGTCATCTGGGCTATTCAGAGCCACAGCCCTTTTATTGAGGCAAAAACCTCGAAAAAAGAAAATCATGTTGCAGATTCATGTGCACTATATAACTGAACAAGAGCAATTGTCTTGGATTTTGGTCAACTTGTTGACTTTGTTGGAAAGGTAGTTGGGGAAGAATTTTACTATGAGTTTTCCAATTGGGAACTGGATAACCCAGTGACCTTGAGTGTTGAGAATGGAGAATACTACAGACAATTTTCAGTGAATCAGTGGTTCCTGATTTCTCCCTCTCTGCTCATCCCCCATGATCCCCCCTCCCCATGTGTAGCATCTTTGTGGAGGTCAAAGAAGCAGCTCAGGTTGCTTCCATCTTTTGTTTGAAACAGCCATTCTCAGTGGCCTGGAACTTTGTCAATCAGGCTAGATTAACTGGCCAGTGAACTTGTAGGGATCTATCTGACTCCCTATCTATCTCTCCATCACTGAGTTTAAAGGGGCTTTCCAATACCCACAGTGCCCAACTTAAATGTAAGTTTTAAAGATCTAAACTCAGGTCCTCTTGCTTGCAAGACAAGCACTTTACAGCCCCTCAATAATTCCTTTCCTCCCTTTTTGAGACAGACTCTCTCAATGCAATCTGGCTGTCCTGGAACTTGCTCTCTAGACCAGGCTGGCCTCAAACTTGCAGAAATCCCTCTGCCTCTGCCTCCCAAGTGATGGGATTAAAATTGCATGCCTCAATAGTTCTCTTCATGGGATCATTTTATTTGTAGTTTATTAAGGCTTGGAAGTGTTAAAAAAAATCTTTATTCTAAGTCCCTTGCCCTTTATACTTGGCAAATTTATATTTAAGTTAAAAGGGGAAAAAAGTATTGCATTTATTAATTGAAATAACCTAAAGCCATCTTGGTTCACACACATGCAATAAAAATGTCCTTAAAGTCCTTTAGTATCTGGCATTGCATAGTGCCAGAAGCTCAGCTGGTTCAGAGTCCCTCCTTCATATTTTTTCCCCTGATCTCTAAAGGTGGCAGCTGTGTACAGGATTGTGGCCCTGGGTTCTATGGAGACCAAGAGTTGGGAGAATGCAAGTCCTGCCACCGAGCCTGTGAGACCTGTACTGGCTTGGGCTACAACCAATGCAGCAGCTGTCAAGAAGGGTTGCAGCTGTGGCATGGGGCATGTATCTGGCCCAGCCGGCCCCAGGTGGAAGACAAGGTCTGGAATGGTACGTACCTGCCAGGATGAGGCCCGGGACCTTTGCCTTCCTCCCTCTTTGGCTCTGTTTCTGAGGAATGTTTTGAGGGAGAATCACATTTGTCCCAAGACTGCTAAGTCTCAGAGAGCTTGTGATATTCGCAGGTAGGAAGCTAAAGGGGGCCTGCGGCCCATAAAGGGCACAGCAGAGGGGAAGGTAACATTGATCTAAAGAGTGGCATGGGATGTAGCCCAACTCCCCTCTTCTCGCAGGGTCCAGGGAAGCTTCCCACGTGTGTGTGTCTCTACAATAAAGCAAGCCTATATCTCTGGGGCCACCTTTCAGTGATCCCTACACATTGGGACTGACAAGCTGGCTAGAGAGCTGGTGCTGGTCTCTTGAAAGCTGCTTTTCCTAGCTGGGGTGGTAGCACATATCTCAATGGCACAGCTCTTGCTCAGTTAGGTGCACAGGGCTCTGGATTTGATCCTGAGCCTTGAGGAGGGAGTTGCCCTCCCAGTTGCGTAAGTGGAAAGCTTGATCTTCAGAGGAAGTGCGAGCAGGGGAGTAGAGATGTGGGAGCTGGGACTCTGATGGAAGCTGCAGGTATCCACTCTTCTGGGCATCTTTAGACTTGGCCTCTGCACCTCTGCAGCCCCACTGTGGACTTCCTTCAAGGTAATTATAATCTTTCTATGACAACTTCCATGTCTAGGAAAATTAAAAACTCAAGTCCTTTTCATGGGGCAGGGGGTCTGATTCACATTTAGTGATACTATGAAAAATAAAAGGTGCTCTCATATTTTGGGACAAGGATCCACTCAGTACAGAGACAGTGGAAGTTGTAGGAGGCCACACAAGACAATGAGGAAGGTGCCCTTCTGGTTTCAGAGAAAGGGTGTCACAGCCGCTGTCCACTATGACACTTCTGCACATCTGACTTTCCTAAGACAGCAACCAAAAGCCAAAGAACCCCAGGCTGTTTCCGACACAGAGCTAAGAAAGTTACTCGATCCAGATTGGGATATCTTCTGTGAATTATAGCTGGACCAAGAATGCTGAAAACGAGTTGGTCTGGCATGCAAGCTTTAAGAGGTAGTCCAAGCCAAGAGGGAAACGGTCTGGTGCTGTGTTTCTTTCTCTGAACATCTGTATTTTATCTGGCATCCAGATGATGAAAAGGCACAGGGAGCCAAGAGTCAGAGCCGACTCGATTCCCCAAATGATTACATGTCTCTTCAACTGGACTACGCATTTTGCAAGCAAAAAATCAGACTTTGATTGTTCCCCTTTGTCAGAGCACCACACCCACCTCTTCACTCTCCCCTCCTAACCCCTCTGAAATCACAGTGCAATGTTTTTGAAAAAGAAGGATTTATTCCATTTGGGGGCCTCACATTAATAAGGGAATAGGGGAGCAGAAGAGATGTTTCTCGTGGCTGGACTAAAGCAATAAAGTCAATGGCATAGCTGCACTTTTCACTTCTGTGATCTATGAAATAAGACATGCAAAGCATTAACAAAGAGGGGGGAACGTTTGCTCGCTAAGCAAGGTAAAGCTACAGTGTGCCTTCCCCAGCAGAAGCACTGAGAGGGCTAGTAAATGGGAAATACATTCCATTAAGTCTGGGGAGGATTGACGCCAATGCCTTCATCTTTCTCTTGCCTTCTTCTCCCCTAAAACAAGGTCAGGAGTGTAATAGGAGAGCAGAGGGTTCCAGAGAGTGAGCACTAATTAGCCACACCTTTCAGATGATGGGAAACAGATTTCAGTCATTCTAGGTCAATCCTGAGGGGACTTGAACAAATCACAGAGTGTTTATAAAAGAATGTAGCTGCCAGGTGAGAGCAGCCAGGTCTTCAGCCTGTTGTCTGAGCTTTAAAAAAAAATGAAATAAAAAATTAAAAAAAGATTCAGATACAGGTAGGACACTAAGATGGTTCTGAACTTTAGCCTACTCCTTCTCCTACCCTACTTCCAACAGAACACAATCAGGTTTACATCCCAAGGCCATGGTCAGCTCTGGGAAGTCACCTTGAGACAATCATTCAATTCTTTCCTTAGCCCTGTGGCTAGTCAGGATGATGGTGACCTCAGCCATCCTTCTTTGTCACCTACCAAGAGAGTGAGTTCCCCTCCCCCTGCACAGTCCAAGGACGGAGAAGACACCGCTCACCAGGGCCTGCCAGGCAAATCCTAGCCAACAGCCTTGAGGCCCAAGGATGGCAGCTCTCCCATGTTTTCCAGCCATCAAAAAACCAGTCACAGAAAGACCCTCTGTCCCATTCACTAAACATTGTGAAGATGACTTAGGATAGTGTCCCTAATGTCAGGAATACTGAACAGGTGACCTGCATGTGGTGGTGTTAAAACATGCAGGAGTGACAGGAGTCTCTTCTAGTGGATTCGCCAGACCTTGGGGATGCAGTTTCTCTGTCACTGCAAAGCATTTTGCTCTTCTGAAGTGTTTTCCCCTCTGGTAGCCTGGAAAAGTTCCTGTAAACATGCCTGAGAGTCCCCTAGCCCACCTATTTCCCTCACAGATTAGAACCAGGCCATAGCAGGCTCTAATTACAGATTGCAAAGGAGGACCAATCTACAAAGCACAGCTTGGTGAACGAGCCTTTTTTATCTCTGACCACATCCTAACAACTCATCTCTAGCTGCTCTTTTGATCTCAATTCCTGAGCCCTGGGAAATGCTGGAGTCGGCGAATTTGTGGGAGGAAAGTCAACCAACCTCTTTGTGGAGAGATAAACGTTGCCTAATAGTAACTTCAGATGGCTTTGAAAAGCCACAAGTACCTGATTCCTAGAAGGGATTTATCTACCTATGCATAAGTTTCCTCAGAAGGGGAAGATGGTGGCATTTTTAGTTACTTAACCAATAGGATAACACAGCGCAAACAGTTGAGAAATAAGTAATCCTTTGGTTCAGTGGTACAAAGGGACCATTCCTACTGGCTTGCACTGATTGATGGTTAAGCATCCAGAATCTGTGTAAGTGCATTGTCAGACTATCAACAGCCTAAAACTAGCTATGACAGAAACGTTTACACCACAGAAATTGGCAACAGTAGAAATCAGTGCTGTCTCACCAGCAAAGCACCACTTTGGTCTCTCTCAGATGACTTGAAAATTAAAATTAATTGCTCAGAAACTTGGATTCCAGCACTACAAATGGGTGACAATAAAAATGACCAGAGGAAGAGCATTAAGCTAAGAATTAGCCCTGCATTCAAATCCTGCCCTGGCTGCTCACTGCAGTGTAACCCTCAAATGTTCTTCCTTCTCTCTGAGCCTTGGTTCCCTCAACTGGAAAACGAGAGCCTGAGACCATGGCAAACGTCATCTCGTACCTGAGAGACCATGTACATCCGCAGAACATTAAGACTCCTGTTTTCTGACCCTTTGATCCAACCGAAACACCAGTTCCCTTGCACAGCAATATTCTCTGAGTCACACAGGAAAACAATCGGTGGGCGGTGAAGAGGCGCTGAAGAGTAGTAGTGATCAAGAAAAGATAGTCGGAGAATGGAGGTGTTAGCTAACCAACCAGGATGCCTCTCAGCCGGTCTTGACCGGCCACAAGTGCACGGGCCACAAGTGCACCCCCTCAAAGATGTCCGTGCACCTTCGTTATAATAGCAATCACAGCACGTATGTGGGGCTAAGCAATCTATAAATGTAACCACAAAAAATGAAATATGATTCATACAAATGCATATGTGAAACACTTACAAAGATGCCTTCCAAGGAAACATCCTTCATAGTGTGTAATGGCGCATGCAGCCTTGGTGTCCTACACAAAGAGGATATGAACGATTCCAGTCCACAAGCCCTTACATCTCAGGCTGACTCTGTGGCAAAAAATACGCAGCAGATATTTCTGGGAGTGGGGAGGGGGCATAGGTGAAGCTTCTCTCCTTCGTGGTCCTTCTATCATTAAAACAAAACACTTTATTTTTTTAATAAAAAAAGAAGCCGTGCCCACTGAAAAGCCATCTTTGGTGAGGAGTCTGCTGCAGGATCGGCGAAAGTGGAAAGTTCAAATCAAAAGAGGTAACAGGGAAATAGGGAGGAGACGGTCATCACCCTACAGCCATCTCCAGTGTGCAGAAAGCAACCCTGGTAGCCACAAGGCCAGAGCAGTGGGGATAGAGAAGCCATGAGAGAGGAGGCAGGAGGGCCGTGAACCATCAGTGAACACTTGGGGAATCTGTAAGACCTGACTGCAGAGGTTCCTGTTACATCTAAGGTCGTTGCCAATGCGCTGAGGACTGTGCCTGGGAAAGGCCATCGAAAGAGCCCATGTGTAGCTACAGCTGGAGCTCAGCAGTAGGACACCACCTAGCGACAGTGAGCCAACGAGTTCAGCAATAGGGCATTACCTAGCAACCAAGAGCCAAGGAGCTCAGCAATAGGGCACTGGCTAGCAACCATGAGCCATGGGGCTCCATCTCCACGCTCTAGCCCTGCAAATCTTTAAAAGACCAAAGAATCAACGCATGCCTTCCTGGTTGCTGCGGTGTTATTTGAAGTAGCAAAGACTGGAAAACTAAATGGCTCTGATAAGAGAGATGAAGGGCGTTGTATCCGTAGGCTAAAATATTAGTTATCGAAAGGAACGAAGAGATCCTAAAGTCTCGTCAAAGCCTGCTCTCCAAAAGATGAGTTTTATTAAAACTAAGGCAAGCCAAGCATTATGGAGCATGTCTGTAACATAGGAGGCAGGGATGGGAGGCGCGCAAGATCAGGACCAGGCTAGGCTAGGCTCCATAGCAGAACTCTGTTTTAAAACAAAACAAAAACAACCATAACACACAAATAAAACAAAACCCCACAATACAAAGTGATCAAAGTATGAATTGATTCAGGGTGCAGATATATGATTATATGACTATTAATTATTAATAAGAAAATAAGAAGGACCCTGACTTTCTACAGTTGCCTCTGACTAACGGCTACCATTCTTGGTTGAAAAGATTTATTTCCCTTTCTTTTTTTTCTTCTTTTTCATTAGTGTTAGTAAGGCTAGAATTTCTGGAGTAGGGTAAAATGGGAACCGTGAGCAAGTTCAAGATTTCCTCGCTGAGACTGGCTTTTACAAACGGCTGCTTCTGTTTAATTACTGTGAACTGCTTGTTCAGAGCTCCCTCTGCTGGACGCAATGGACCATTGACGAACTCTATACCTACTTTATGCAGTAAAACAGCAAAATTGTCAGTGTTAAATATATATTATTAAAAATATGTGTGTGGATATCTACTGAATTTCACAATTATATGAAAAAATAAAACATATCTTTGTGAATGAGACATCTTAGTATCAAATGAGGAAGTCAGCCTGTGGCCAGACACAGCGTAGCTTTGCAGGGCTCAGGGATGGTGATATCACTCTTTGAGCATCCCAGCATGCTTCTGCCCTCCTGATGCCTCTTCTGATAGCCCAGTGCTGTCTCCGGGTGAAAATGTCCCAGAGGCAGAACTGCGGCTCTGGGAAACCTGTAGACTTTTGTGGCAACTGCTGTCACTGGACTCTGTACAGGTTACTTAGATGTTCCCAGTGTCTCCTCTGACTCAGGGAAGAAACTATCAGTCCATCATCAGCTCTGTTATATCCTATAAATCCAGGGCAAACTTATCACTCCAAACTACAAAATGCTTGCCGATCAGTGTTGCGACTTGGGCAGTCATTTAGACACACATGCATCATGTATGTATATGCATGTTGCTGTGTACATTCCATGTACATGTCACATGTGTTTTTACATCAGTCCTATCTCCTACCAATCTGTACTCCACTTAGTCTCTTCCCCAGCAAGGTGCAGCAGCTTTATAATAATAATGACATCATAGAACCAATACAGGCATCCTGGGGCCCGTTCCAGTGTGGATTGAGGGGGGCGGGAGGAGGGGGAGAAGAAGGGAGTGGGTGGAACTCTGTTACTGAGCCACCATGCTAAGCACTTAACATACACACTGTCTTAACTGAGCTACTGTGTTAAACACTTCATACAGTGTCTGGCTGAGCACTGTGCTGAGTAAGCACTTCTTCATGTGAGCTGTCAGCATAAAGCAGGACACACACTGTCTCACTGTCCTTCATGGTTCCACAAGGGAAAAACCATTCTCTCTCATTTTAGAGACCCAGAAAGTAGAACTCTGAGAGTTTAATTACCGTATCCATGGTTACCCCACCCATAAGCAGCACAGCCAGGATCCAAGGGCAGGTGTGAGTAGGTAGCCAGCTACACCAGACTCCCAGGAGGAGAAGTGGGTCAAGAAAGAGAGGCACAAGACAGAGAGGAAGGAGTTAGGGCCACTAAGATCATCCAGGGCTAATTCCCCTGTGGGAGATACACTGGAAAGGTCTCCATGTGTACTGAGTGAGGTGGACAAGGCTGCCCTGTGTGTGTGTGTGTGAAAACCTGTCCCAGGAGGTGGCTTTATAAGGTGGCTTCCTGGAAATGCTTGCCTTCAGATGCTCTTAGAAGGAGAGTGCAAACACACAAACACGTGGACACACAGGCAGGCAGACAGGCAGGGAGGCAGACAGACAGACAGACAGACATTCAGCTACATGCTATGAACATGTGAAAGCAGGACAATTTGTTGCCTCAAATATCCACCCACAGTGTTATGACTGTCCTGTGAAGTTGCAAGGGAAATCTTGATAATCAGTTTCCAAGGAATGAGAAAGAAAAAGGAGGAAATTCTACATCATAGCAGTGGGTAGTAGCCAGCAATTAGCTTGTGTAATATGGGAAACAGGAGCTGAGTTACAGTGAGGGGAGCTGAGTTACTTCTCCAACGCTGTAAGACTATGCCAGAAGGCCAAGTCTGATTTGTTTCTTGCCCATACAGATGCAACGAGGCAGTATCAACCTTGTCATTCTTCTTGTAAAACCTGCAATGGATCTCTCTGCGCTTCATGTCCAACAGGTCAGTGCAGATGGGGGAGATGGCGGTGGCAACTGAACCCTCCAGACGCTCCTTTATGTTGGTGGTGGTTTGTGTTCAGATGCATGATATTGATCTAGTCCCATTGCTGGGGCTCCTGGGGACACACAGGAAATCAAGCACTGACCAGTAGTAAAACTGAGCTTCCTGGGGCAAAGAAATATACAATGGAGTTTTGGGTTGTCTTGGCCATAGAATGAGCTGGAATCTACCGGTACTTCACAGTTTGAATCTCCTGTTCTTTTATCTTAGACAAATGAAGTTAAGGTCAAGGATGAGTATAGGGATGAACACATTGCCTGCGGTCTCCTTCATCCTCAAGTCTACACTTAGTGCTGGAGTGGGGGTGGGGGAAGGGGAGAAACAGAATAGCTTGTCTCCTTAAAACTTACCTTATTTATGAAAACACTGGGCATAAATAACTTCCTCAAGATAGATTGTCTATGTGGTACATTAGCATAATGTTATGCTCCCACAGAAATTATCATTAGGGGCTGGAGAGACAGTCGAACGCAGTGAATAAGAACACACCCTGCTCTTGCAGAGAACCTCAGCGCATTTCCTGGCATCCACATTTGGGAGCTCACAGTTACTTGTAACTCCAGTTCCTGGGGTCCAATACTTACAGCCTTTGTGAGCACCTGCATTCACGTTCACATACACTCAGGCATATGTGTCCACATCATTAAAAATAAAATAAAGAGACATCTTTTAAAATTATCATTAGAAGAGCCATGTTAGAATGCCACTGATTCTCCCATAATGGGTTCCAGTACTTTCTATGAATATTGGAAATGCCAATAAAACTGAGTCTGTATGTTCTGTTTGTCCTACGCACATTCCTCTGATCAACTTGAGCTTACAAATCAGACACAATAAGAGAATAACAACAGCTAATAATAAAATGTAATAATACTGTAATAAAAAATTTATAACTTCAGAACACTTACTTCTGTAGCCTTCACTTACTATTTTGGACATGGGCTGACCTCCGGCTACTGGGACTTTGAATAAAGCCCTGAGCAAGGTTTGCTGTAGTGAGATCAGACACAAGGCATCATTTAACATGATAGATATGTCAAGGCCGTGAGCTCGTAAGCAGTTACACCCAAACACTCAAACAAGAAGTTTTAGAATTTTAGAGTTGAGAAGATTTTAAAAGCATTTATTTTAATGATTTGATTGATGGTTGGTTGGTTGATGATTGATTGATTGATTGATTGATTGATTGATTGAAACCATCTCACTATATAGCCCTGGCTATCTTGGAGTTCACTTTGTATAGCTAGCTGACCTCAAACTCACAGAGATATGCATGTCTCTCTCTGTCTCTCAAGTGCTGGGATTAAAGTCACTCACCACCACCCATCTGCACCCCCCTTTTCATCCTTTCTATTTCATTTATTTAGTTTGAAGGTGTGTGTGGTGTGTGTGTGTGTGTGTGTGTGTGTGTGTGTGTGTGTGTGTGTGTGTTGTATACCAGTATACATATGGACATACATATGGAGCAAACATATGAACATGCATACGGAAGCCAGAAGTCAAACATGGGTGTTGTTCTTCAAGATGACCTTCCAATTTAGTTGGTGGAGTTTGTTGTTTTGTTTTTTTTTCCCTTTGGTTTTGTTTTGTTTTGTTTTTAGACAGGTCTCTCATTGGCCTGGCTCTCACCTGTTTGGCTAATGTGGTTAGCTGGTCAGTGAGCCTCAGGGATTTTTCTTTCTCTCAGTCTTTAGTCCTAGGAGTACAAGCATTCACCACCATGCCCCGCATTTTATGTGGGTTCTGGGGCTCAAACGTGTGTTCTTACCCTTGCACAGTAACCACTGTTCTGAGATCTCCAAACCCTTTATTTATGCTTAAATCTTTATTACATGTATTTATTTGTTTAGCTATGAGTATGAGTGTGTGGTGTGCACATACCACAGCCTGTGGGGGTGTGAGGACAACTTGCTGGTGTAGGTTCTCTCCTTCCACCACGTGAGTCTCAGAGCTTAAGCTCAGTCAATCAGGTTTGGCAGCAAGCACCCTTACCTGCTGATCCAGCTGACTAGCCCACATTTGGTTTTTAAGATAACAATAGCTGTCTTTCTGATTAAGCACACATAGAAGTGGAACATTCTGTTCAAGGGGAGCATATCTGGAAAAGTTGCTTGCATGTCTGTCTCGTCCATTCCAGATGGGTGGGGGGGTGGCTGGAAAGAGGATCCGTATAGCGGCTCACACGTGCCTGCATAGATGGCAAGACTGGTCAGCAGGGTGAAGGGAAGCCCTAGAGTGACCAATCTCTAATGTCACACTGTGCAAAAGATGCAGAGCAAAGTCCCCTGTGGCCAATTTCCTTCCTAATGATTTAACTAATTAAAAGATAAATAAATAAATAAATAAATAGTTTATAATCATTATTTAAGTGTTTCAAATACCCAGACTTTGAAAAAAATGATTTAAAAAAATCAAAGCCTCTACGTGTATGAGTCCTCTGGATAATGTGTGTGATATCAGGATCAACCATGACTGCTCTTCTCTGCCATTGTGCCCTGATTTCTAGGTACCTACCTGTGGCTGCAGGCCTGTGTTCCTTCCTGTCCCCAAGGCACTTGGCTGTCAGTCACCAGTGGCACCTGTGAAAAGTGTGCGGAGGACTGTGTCTCCTGCTCTGGAGCCGACCTTTGCGAACAGTGCCTGAGTCAGCCAGATAACACTCTGCTCCTCCATGAGGGCAGGTGCTACCACAGTTGCCCAGAGTAAGTCTCCTCCTCCCTCTGACATCATACTCCTACTCAGTCTCCACAGTTCCTCTGAGCAGCTCCTTCCTCCCATAGCACTCTCTCTGCACACTCAGAGCACCCGCATCAATGATACTTGTTGACTGTGACATCACCTTGGACCACAGCAGCCAAAGGCCAGATGCCCACTTCTTCCTGTGACTTGTATACACATGAATTTTTACTTCTGTGACAGTAGTCACTTGACCTGTGTTGCACAGCAGTGGGGATGTGTTCTTAAAAGGACACTTTTAGGTGATGTTATCCATCACAGGGTGATTTGCACACTGTTCTTATGAAAACCTAAATACTGTAGCCTCCTACACACAGAGTCTATAGGTATGGAGTGTCACTCATTGACCAAAACATGTTGGCATGGTGTCTGGTTATTCTTTTCCCACCTTGCATCAGTAACTGGATGTTCTCAGTTCTCTTCTGCATCATCGGTGCAGAGTTGTGATATAAGCCTCTTCTAAACTTTCAAGCAGATGAGTTGTGAGTTATATACAGTAACAGTAGCTACTTATTTATCAATTGCTGTCTCAACCCTCTCATTTAAAATCCCTTTAGAGTTCCATGAGAGGAAGGAGCTGATCCGAGGGACTGTTGTGTTCACCAACAGGATTTACCTGTGAGGGAAGAGAACAACAGACCAGAAGTAACAAACTTAGCAAAAATGACAAATCTCCCACATTACAACGTTAGGAAGCCCCACATTGGAAACTTTGGTGACACCAGGGTCACCAGAAGCCCCATCTTCCCATATGGTCCCTGTTCCTTCCTTGGCTGTCCTCCCTTGTTGGCCCTATAGAGCCTCTGTCTGTATTGTCTGCCTCAGCTACAAGTATCACCACCCTACTCAGTGACAAGTAGCCTAAGGGATAACTATGCCCCTTCCCTCCCTCCCTCCTTTCCTAGATTTCTTACCAATACCACCATCTAGGTGTATCACTTTCTAAACTGGTCTCTAGCAATAAGGATAAAGAGCCTTTATCTTTTGGAGCATATGAAGGTCCCTTAGTGATGCCTAAGACTGCATAGTACCAAACCCTATGTGTAAATGCTCTGTTCTTATATACTCAGAATAAAATTCAATTTATAAATTAAGCATAGTGAAAGATTGCTAAAATAAAGCTATTATAGTAATATAATTGTAATAAAGTGTATGAATATGGTTCCTTCTCACAATATCTTCTTGGACTGTACTCACTCTTTTGTGTGTGACACTATTCCTGGAGAGACACAAACAAATGTCTATTCATCCTATACAGAGAACCAATGATAGACCAAAATATGACACTACAAATGTCCAACTTGATAAATGACAGGTATATTAAAGTTATTTACAGATGTGTGGATGAGAGATTACTTACAGGAGCATGAACAACTCAAAGGAAGCTTCATTTTCAAAAACCCATTCCATGATGGGGTGATAACTCATGAAACCTGGAACTCTGGAGCTCTCTGGATAAAGGCAGATTGGCAGTTTCCAAGTTAAAGAGTCTTCTTTCCTTGGCAGGCTTTAGTGCTTATTGTATAGCTGGGAGGAGGAAAAGATCTTGCATATTTAACCAATTTCAGGGACTTCTTGAGACTTCTGAGTTGTTTACTTCCTGAATTTTAATGATCCTCTTTTCAAAACTATTGAGTCTCAAGGAGCTTCCCTTGGGAATAGAAAATTTCATTTTTAAGTAAATTGCTTCTTGGTGGTGATGCTTAGCATTAGCCTTTCATATAAAGATTATTTAAACATGAGCACTGTAAAACCAACAACAACCATTCTGATGATAGGAATAACTGTTGATGGATAAGTGCATGTAACAACAAAATACATATGCTAAATATAGAAGAACCTTGCAGAATCCTTAGTGTAGTAGTAGGTCAATTTTATACTGGCCAATGGGATACTCCTTGGGGAAGGAAAGCAAAGTGCTAAGACTGTCCTGGGGAAGAGGGAGTGTGAAGAAATGATTTAGAAACAGCCATAGTTTTTGAGCCCTTGTGATGTCCAGCTACTGTGTGAAGATCTTGAATATAGCATCACATAAACTCTCACATGAATTCTATTGCTTCTCCAGGAGTGGCACAGCCATTAGCACACACATCATAAAACACAAGTGAGGGTTGGGGTAGCACTTCCACATTTGCTGCTCCCTCACTAGCCTCTCCCACCTTGGAATTGAAATAGCTGTCACAGTTGTTCCTTGTGTAATCACTATTTCTGGTTCCTAATGCTTTCTTGGCTTCTTCAAATGTTTAAGAAACGATTCATTAAAGCAGGAAGAGAAGCACTTTGCTTCCCTCTAACTAGCATTCCTTTCCTCACAGAATGGGTTGATCTACTTTTTAAGATAATTTCTTACACTTTTATTTCTTATCTTATATGTTTAAGTGTTTTGCTTGCATGTGTATGTATGTGTGCCATGTGTATGCTGGTATCCTCAGATGTCAGAAGAGGGTACCAGATCTCTTGAAATTGGTGTTATAGATGGCTTTAAACCACTGTTGTGGGTATTGGGGACCAAACCTAAATCCGCTGGAAGAACAAGTGCTCTTAATTGCTGAGCCATCTTTCCAGCCCTCAATGGGATGTTGAGGTAATCAGCAGCCAAAATATTCTCTAATTTTTGAGCAGTAAGGAATCTAGAGAATGGCTGGGAAGCCCTACACATAGTATACAAAGAAACAACACCCAGGTAGTCAGAAGAGAGTCCACCATTAATGGGAACTACTTTTTCAAAGATGGTAGATGTCTTAATCACTTTTCTATTTCAATAAAGACACACCATGACTAAGACAACACTTTTAAAAGAAATTATTTAACTGAGGGCTTGCTAACAGTTTCAGAGGGTTAGTCCATTATCAATGTGGTGGGAGCATGGCAAACTAAAGGCAGGCATGATGCTGGAGAAGTAGCTGAGAGTTATATCCTGATCCACAGGCAGCAAGCAAAGAGAGGGAGATATTGGGCCTGGCGTGGGCTTTTGAAAACTCAAAGCCTATCCCCAGAGACTTACCTCCTCCAACAGAAGCACACCTCCTAATCTTTTCCAGTCTACCACCTGATGACTAAGCATTCACATATATGAGCCTACAGGGCCATTGTCATTCAAACCACCACAATAGATGTTCAAAGTGCATACTGACCTCAACAGGTTGTGATTATTTAATAGGCAGCAAAACAGCACCTAAGAGGCTGAAACAGAAGGATTTGCAATTTGGGGTTAGTCAAAGCTGCATAGCAAGACCCTGTCTCCAGGGGTGCAGGGAAAGGGGAAGGCAACAAAAAACAGGTGCTCATGTCTACTGAAATTTGAAGCTTTGGTGGATGATAAAAATTAATATTTTCTTAGCAGCTGGCCATCATGATCTCGAATTTTTTGTAAAATTTCAAATTACATAGCTTTTGCATAGTGAGTATTTATCTGGGACAAAGTTTTTATGATAAAGAACTTTGATTTTAAGAATGTTATATACATAGCTACATTTTCCTTTGAGAGTCTCACCACATACCACAAGCTGGCCTCAAACTGACAATTCTCCTGCTTCAACCTCCCATGTGGTACCAGGTTGCCCATTCCATGTTGAAAGAAATATTTGTTGTCTTTAAAAATTATTTTTATTTTTATCATGTATATGTCTGTGTCTGCCTGTGGGTATGTGTTCATGAGTGCAGAGCCCGAAGAGGCTGGAGGCTTCAGACCCTCCAGAGTTGGAGCTGCACGTGACTGTGAGACTGAGGTGGAGGCTGGAAACTGAACTTTGGAAGAGCAGCAAGTGCTCTTAACCATTAAGCCATCTTTCCATCCCCAATATTTGTCTTCTTAAATAGAAGTAATGTGAAATAAATCATTTTTTTTAAAAAATCAGTGATATAAATACTAGGCATAGTGGTGCACACTTTTAATCCCAACACTTGAGAGGCAGAAGACAGAACTTGAGGCCAGCCTGGTCTACATAGTGAGTTTCAGGACAGCCAGACCTACAACAGTTACAAATATAAAAAAATAAATGTGCTGGGCAGTGGTGGCGCACACCTTTAATCCCAGCACTTGGGAGACAGAAGCAGGCAGATTTCTGAGTTCAAAGCCAACCTGGTCTACAGAGTGAGTTCCAGGACAGCCAGGGTTATACAGAGAAACCCTGTCTAGAAAAAAAATGCTAGTTTATAAAGTGCTTTCTGCACAAACAAGAGGACCTGAGTTTGACCCCCAGAATCCACATAAATGCTAGGTACTATGACACATACCTATAATCTTGGTACTACTGAGGCAGCAAAGACAGGAGGATCCCCAGAACCCTCCAGTCAGCCAGTATAGCAAAACTGGTAAATACCAGATTCAGATTGAGACGATGTGTTTCAACAGTATGGTAAGAGTGATAGAGGAAGGCCCCCATGTCAATTATTGGCTTCCACACATCCATGCATAAGTATGCACACATAAGCTCTGCTTAGGGTTTCATTGCTGTTAAGAGACATCATGACCAAGGCAACTCGTATAAAGGTAAACATTTAACTGGGGCTGACTTATAGTATCAGAGGGTCAGTCCATTATCATCAAAGCAGGAAGCATGGCAGCATCCAGGCAGGCATGATGGTGGAGGGGTTGAGGGTTCTACATTTTGACCCAAAGGCAGCCAGAAGGAGACTCTCATTCCAGCTAGCAGCTAGGAGGAAGCTTGCTTCTTCACTGGGTGGAGCCTGAGCATAGGAGGAGACCTCCAAAGCCCACCCCTACAGTGATGCACTTCCTCCAACAAGGTCACACTTCCCCACAGCACCACTTCCTATGAACCAAGCATATTAAGCATATTCAAATCAGCATAAGTGCATACATATATACTATCCACACACACAAATAAAATATTAAAAGGAAAAACCGTCCCAGAGCCCTTAAATGGTAGATGTCAAAAGCTGTTTCCAAAATCAGACATGTTTTGAAATATCTATGTGTGGTGTATGGAGTGTGTGTGTGTGTGTGTGTGTGTGTGTGTGTGTGTGTGTGTGTGTGTTGAAATATTTTTTATTGTAAAGTATAAAATCTAACAGAGAGAAATGACAATGACAATGTGGGTATAAATCAGGACAAAGTTTTAGACAAATTAAATGCCTTTAAACAAACCAAGTTCCCAAGGGAGATGCCCACCTCTTTCATTCTATTTTCCTAGACATTTTTCACAACCTTCCCTTAGTGAGTCCTGTGGGTTCACTCTGATTGACAAGAGCAGCAGCCATTTCTTTTGGTCTGAATCCCTTGTCAGCAGCTGAGACTCATCTCTCATTGATATAACTGCAATCTCCCTTCTTTCCATAGGGGCTTTTACGAAAAAGATGGTGTTTGTGAACACTGTAGCTCCCCTTGCAAAACATGTGAAGGAAATGCCACCAGCTGTCACTCCTGTGAAAGAGACTTCGTCCTAGACCACGGGGTGTGCTGGGAAACTTGCCCTGAAAAGCATGTGGCCATGGAAGGAGTCTGCAAGCCCTGTCCAGAGAGGTGCCAGGACTGCATCCATGAGAAAACTTGCAAAGGTACCTGGAAGCATTCTGATGGAAAAAAAGCATTCTCTCTACACAAAGGAACACGTGAACAAAGTGAAAGGAATCCGCCAAGGTTTTCTTTTCACAAAGGGGGTGTGCTATGACCAAAACTGGTCTAGCAGGCACACCGAGCAGCAAGGCTGATAGGTGTTTATCCTAATATAGGAGTACTGTTGCTTTCTCCCATTGGCTGGGGTCCAATCTCACAGTTGACTAATTTTAAAACCATTTGCAGAAAGAAAATAAAAGCAGTGGGCAAGTGATTGTCCTCCCTGGACCATCCAGTTTGGCAAATGTGGGAAGAGGCATGACGAAGCTCTTTATAAACGAAAGCTTTACTAGGTGGAGAAGATAAAGGTTGTACAGGGTGAGGGAGATTTATGGCATATTGGCCCTTGGTGGACTGACTAGTCATTGTTCATAGAAAATAAACGATAAACATTCTCACAATCCCAAGGGGGTCCTGGCCATGAGGAGCCACTGGCTAGGGCCCTATCTGAGAACCAAAAACTATCTTCATCTTCAGTGAAATTCATCATCTGCTGGTCCATAGTTGAGGAAGTTAGCGATGAGATATACTGCTTCCCTTGTGAACTCAGTAAGCTAAGACAAGCAAGAGTTTTTACAGATATACTCAACTCTCACCTCAAAGGGAGTAAGAGACGTCTATTCTGGAGACAGACATAAATGGCCATGGCCTAAGAACAGAGTACAGGTTACCTTACATGCCATGGTTCAATGTGACAAGTTAATGACATTTGCCTAGTTAGAGCAAAAGGGAGTCATAAATTGAGGCTCTTTTGGAAGCATTAGTGGCAATAGCAGGCAGGAGGGTTTCAGCAAAGTGAGATCATCTCTGCTCTAGGCCCCACATATCACCTGACAATAATCATAGCTCTGAGGTGGTAGAACCTGATGGTCTGTGAAGCTTACACATTGCAAAAGAATTTACCTGACAGTCACAGGATACTGGGTCCAACACAGAGGTAGTCAGTGGGCTGTTAAGAAGCTAAAGAAAGCCTGTGATAATTTAATTCTGGATCCACAACATTCCAACATTCCATAATAGTGAAGTCCTAATCAGATGATTGGCCTGGAAGAATCCTTAGCACAGCTGTTGCTTTTTTCAGTAGAATATTAATTATATTCTACTGAACCCATTTACTGTGGCTCTTATGTACATGTGCTTAGGGCTGACTACTTGGGATTAGATAATTTACCAGGCTCACCCCTAAAAAAACTGATATTCTCCCTCCCTCCCCCTCCCCCCACCTCTCTCTTACCATTGCCTGTAGTTCTTCATATACAGCCTTGTGAAATTTACCTTGTGCATTTTGGCATGATGAATTTTGTTGTCAGTATGTAGGTCTTGTTCACACAACCATTTTGTTGGGTATAGCATCCCTGTCATATCTGGAAGACATATTCTAACAGCAGATCTCCTGATCCTCTGGCTCTTATCATCTTCCTACCCTCTTTCTCATATTCCCTGAATGTATAGTGGATGTGTAGTTGGGGCTAGGTGTCCCATGATCACTTAATCTCTGCATTTTGACCAGTTGTAGATCTCTACAGTACCTGCTGGAAAAAAGCAGCTTCTTTGAGAAGTAGAGTGAGAGCTACACTTATACGTGGGTATGGGCTTTAGTATGTAGTTAGATAGCTAGACATGATGGCACACACCTTTAATCCCAGCATTTGAGAGGCAGAAGCAGATGGACCTCTGTCAGCTCAAGGTCATCCTGATCTACATAGTGAGTTCCAGAACAGCCAGAGCTACATACTGAGATCATGTCTCAACAAACAAACAAACAAACAATAATGTAGTTAGAAATTATATTGATTTAGGACAATGTCAGTAATAGGTTCTCCTCTAGGATTAGATAATTGATCAGGGGCCCATCACTAGAAAAGACATTCCATTCCTTCTTCTCTGTCTCTGTCTTTCTGTATCTTTCTCTGTCTTCTTCTCTGTTTCTCTCTTTATCTCTGTCTCTCTGTGTCCCTCTGTCTCATCTATCTATCTATCTATCTATCTATCTATCTATCTATCTATCTATC